CACCATCGATCTTCAGAAGTTTTTTAATCTTCCCAAACTGAAATTCTGTATCTATTAAAAAATGACTCATTCTCCCTGCTGCCAGCAGTACCTGACAGCCACCATTCTACTTTATGTCTCTGTGAATTTCACTACTCTAGTTACCTCATATAAGTGGAATCATACAATTATTTGTCCTTTAGTGACTGGTTTATTTCACTTAGGATAATGTCTTTAAGACTCAGCCAGGGCCGGGCGCGGTGGCTCAAGCCTGTAATCCCAGCACTTTGGGAGGCCGAGGCGGGTGGATCACGAGGTCAAGAGATCGAGACCATCCTGGTCAACACGGTGAAACCCTGTCTCTACTAAAACTACAAAAAATGAGCTGGGCATGGTGGCACGTGCCTGTAATCCCAGCTACTCAGGAGGCTGAGGCAGGAGAATTGCCTGAACCCAGGAGGCGGAGGTTGCGGTGAGCCGAGATCGCGCCATTGCACTCCAGCCTGGGTAACAAGAGCGAAACTCCACCCCCCCAAAAAAAAAAAAAAAGACTCAGCCATGTTGTAGCATGTGTCAGAATTTCCTTCCTTTTTAAGACTGAATAATACTCTCTTTTTTAAAATTCTCTTTTTTGTCTGTGTTTTATTTTGAATAGTTTCTTTTCTTTCTTTTTTTTTTTTTTTTGAGACAGGCTCTCGTTCTGTCGCCCAGGCCAGAGTGCAGTGGTGTGATCTCGGCTCACTGCAGTCTTGAACTCCTGGGCTCAAGTGATCTTCCTGCCTCAGACTCCGAGTAGCTGGGACTACAAGCATGCGCAACCATGCCTGGCTAATTTTAAAAAATTATTTATTGAGACGGGGTCTCGCTATGTTGCCAAGGCAGGTCTTGAACTCCTGGGCTCAAGCAATCCTCCCACCTCAGCCTCCCAAAGTGTTAGGATTGCAGCCAGTGTCTTTGAATTGTTTCTATTGTTATTTAGTTACATGTATTGCTCTTATCTTCTGCAGTGTCTCATCAGTTACTAGTCCCATCCAGGGTATTTTTTGTCTAAGATAATATCATTTTATCAGTACTTTGAGTTGGGTCTTTTTTTTAATGTATCTATTTACTTTTTTTGTGGAGATGGTGCAGGGGGCAGGAGTAGGGGAGCATCTAGCTTTGTTGCTTAGGCTGGTCTTGAATTGGCCACAAGCGATCCTCCTGCCTCACCTCCCAAAATGCAGGGATTACAGGCGTGAGCCACCACCTGGCCATTATGTGTCTATTTCTTCATTTAACTTTTTGGACATATGTAATGAACAATTATCGTAACTGTATTAATTTCCTTATCTGGTAATTTTATTATCTATGTCAGTTCTTGATTGATTGACTTTTCTCCTATTATAAGTGATACTTTCCCACTTCTTTGCATGTCTGATGATCTTTGACTAGATGTCAGACACTATGAATTCATTGTTGGGCTCTGGATACTTTGGCATTTCTATTAATATTCTTGAGCTTTTGGTGGCATGCTGTTCAACTACTTGAACACAGTTTGATCTGAGTCTTCCTTTTAAGATTTGTTAGGATGAACCCAGAGACATGTTTAGTCAGGGGTAGGATTTCTCAATAGCAGCACCATGACATTTGGGGCCAAATAAATCTTTTTTAGGGAAAGGGGTAGTCCGTGCATTACATAGATATAGAATGTTTAACAGCATCCTCCCCCAAAGTTGTGACAACCAAAAATGTCTTCAGACATTGCCAAATGTTCTGAGAAGTGGGGAGAATTGCCCCTAGTTAAGAGCTGCTGCCTTAGGGTTAGTTTTGCCTCACTACTATGGCAAGATCTTTCTGTGTTTTCTACCCAAAGCCGCATGAATCATGAGACCTTTTTTCAATCTGGCTATTTGGAATAGGCACTTTTCTTGGCCTTATGTGAGTACTGGGAATTCATTTGGGTGGTCTTTCCTTGTTCTTGGTTTGTTTCCTTACATAGATGTGCTGATAGGCATTCAGCTAAATATTAAAGAGAGATCTGCAGATCTCTGGAGTTCTTGTCTGTGTATCTCCTCTCCAGTATTGTGCCCCACAAACACTAGGCATCTTGTCAGCTCCATCTCCTCAAGTCAGTGAGCCTGCCAGGTCTAACCTGAGTTTCCCATCCTGTGCCTCTTGTGGCTAGGAAACTCAAGGCCATAACCTAGGGCAGTAGGGTTCACCTGATTTGTTTCCTGCCTCTCAGGGATTTTCCTGATGTCCAGTATCTTGAAACTTTTTTTTTCTCCATATATTTTGTTTGTTTTTGGTTGTTTCAGGTGAGAGAATAAATCTGGCCCTTGTTACTAAATCTTAGCCAGAAGCACATGTCCTTTAACATACCATTTATTTGTATAAATGATTGGTAAAAGCTGAATTTTTAACATTCTTAAACATTTACTAATCAATTTCCTTGTTTTGTCGATTTGTATTTGTCATTCAAAGTCTCCTGTTCCCTGTAATTCCCTTGGTACAATATAAATATTAAATAAGCCCTAAAGCTTTTTATCATCTTTTAATATACCTCTTTCATGCAGGCTCTCACAGTTTTAGCTAAGTAGGATTTTAGTATGGGCCTCTTAACTATTATATAGTAGCGTACAATTAAAGGGCATGCACTGACCTGATAAAGCAGAACAGTGAAATGTATCATGCTTTTAGGGCATTCCCACAGCAGGCTCAAAGACTTCCAAGAGATTTCTATGTGTAACTCATATTTTCTAAAACATCAGCATCAAAGCCTGTTAGCCTGATTGAGGTTGTAAAGAACTGGGGAGCTAAGACACGGGAAAAAAAACATATGAAAGAAGAGAAGAATCATTTTGAACAGAGTATGAGAGGAAACTGTACTAACAAATAATGCTTTAAGAATGGGAGTGACATGGAACCCATTGGTGGTAAGTTGTTAGAGAAAGGGGAATAGCAGACTAGAAATAATGTGACTGAAGAAATCTGGCCTTGTTTTATATGAAAGAAACTTGTCTCTCAGATTTGCTATATCATAACTACTACAGAGATTATAGCATGTGCTTGTTGGATATTTAAGGATGAAGTAATTTAGTCAGAGCACACCTTGGGTAAAAGAAGGTATGTGTAGTAGGAAGGGTGAAACCATCTCGTTATCCATGTGAACTGAAACAGCAAAATCATATTTCTAATGGAATTCTATATATGATATAATAAATGATGTAAAAGAATATATCGCATAAATGTGTAAGTTCTGTGTGTTAAAGTGAATAAATCTTAATTCTTTGGCATTTGAGGTGGTGATGATATGCTATAGCTAAAAAGAGTGAAATAAGAGTTTTTGTTATTCCATAGTGTGTAAGAATTAGACAACTTTAAAAAAAAATAAAGACTCCTTGTAAATGGATGTGATAATTTTCAAAGACAGAAACTATGTGGGTTGATAATAAAAGTTCTTTTGTGAAACAAAATATGACTTAAGGTTTTCAAAAATTAAGATTGCTTTTAGTAATAACGAAATAAATGCTTAATGGTTAACTGACATTTCCCTGACATTCATCTGTGGGTGGATTTTATCAAGCTTACTTCTTGTTTTCTAAATACTATAGTTTTGATGATACAAGGGGTGCTCATGTAGACAAAGTGTCTGCCTTTGCCAAGTGATTATAAGTCTTCATGGCAAGAGTTTATGTGGGTAGAAAAAGAATGCGGACCAGTACCAGATTTTTACTTTTCTCACTATGAGGAAGCACAGAAAGTTTTTCATAGCCAAAAATGCATTTATACGGCCATAATAAACACTCAAATCAAGAATTATTACATTGTGAGGAAAGGAAGAGGATTTTGTCCTCATTCATTTGTCCTTCAGGATAGAAGGATATTCATTTGTATTGATGTTTTATTTGGTTTTTCAAGACTTTGAAAATAAAGTTTAACATAACATATATAGAGAAAAGTATAGATCACAATTATACAGCTTGATGAATTTTTCGCAAAAGGAACAGATCTGTATAACTAATATCCAGATTTTTAAAAAAGAACATTTGTATTAGAACTGGTGTGGGGTTTTTTGTTTGTTTGTTTGTTTGTTTTGTTTTGTTTTGTTTTGTTTTGAGACAGAGTCTTGCTCTGTTGCCCAGGCTGGAGTGCAGTGGCACAATCAGCCCACTGCAACCTCTTCCTCCCGGGTTCAAGTGATTCCCCTGCCTCAGCTTCCCAAGTAGCTGGGATTACAGGCACCTACCACTACGCTCAGCTAATTTTTTGTATTTTTAGTAGAGATGGGGTTTTACCTTGTTGGCCAGGCAGGTCTTGAACCTCCTGACCTTGTGATCTGCCTGCCTCAGCCTCCCAAAGTGCTGGGATTACAGGCATGAGCCATTGCACCCAGCCCGAGTAGGCTTTTTAATTAACTTATAACTGATGCTGTGGAAAAGCCATTTGTAAAATGTCTTTCTGTAAAAATGTTTGGTTATTAACTTTTCTTCTGCCATTGGAGTCATATGCATAAAATTATTAGTATGTTAATCTATTGAAAATCATTCATTATTGAATAATTTTTGTTTCTTTTACTGTAGAAACCAATAGGATAGTGTAAGTAAATTACTGTTTCTGGGGTGGGGGTGTGTGTGTGTGTGTGTGTGTGGTGTGTGTGTGTGTGTGTGTGTGTGTATTTTTTTTTCGAGACAAGATCTCCCTGTTGCTCAGGCTGGAGTGCAGTGGCACACTGCAGCTTTGACCTCCCAGACTCAAGTGATCCTCCCACTTCAGCCTACCAGGTAGCTAGGACTACAGGCTATGCCCAAGCTAAATTTTTTTTTTTTTTAATAGAGATAGGGACTTGCTGTGTTGCCAAGACTGATCTTGAACTCTTGGGCTTAAATAATCCTCCCAACTCAGCCTCTCAAAGTGCTGGGATTATAGGCATGAGCCACTGCACCTGGCCTTTTCCTGGTATATTTATGTGTGTTTGTCTTTGAAGAAATTGTTAGGACACACTGAAGCTTTTGTTTTGTTTTCCTGTTTTCTCTTGACAGGCAGTGGAGGAGGAAATGGCAGGTCCTAATCAACTCTGCATTCGCCGCTGGACTACCAAGCATGTAGCTGTGTGGCTGAAGGATGAAGGCTTTTTTGAATATGTGGACGTTTTATGCAATAAGCACCGACTTGATGGAATCACATTGCTAACATTGACTGAATATGATCTGCGGTCTCCTCCTCTGGAAATCAAAGTCTTAGGGGACATTAAAAGGTTAATGCTCTCGGTCCGAAAATTGCAGAAGATACATATTGATGTTTTGGAAGAGATGGGCTACAACAGTGACAGTCCCATGGGTTCCATGACCCCTTTCATCAGTGCTCTTCAGAGTACAGACTGGCTCTGTAATGGAGAGCTTTCCCATGACTGTGACGGACCCATCACTGACTTGAATTCTGATCAGTATCAGTACATGAATGGTAAAAACAAACATTCTGTTCGAAGATTGGACCCAGAGTACTGGAAGACTATACTGAGTTGTATATATGTTTTTATAGTATTTGGATTTACATCTTTCATTATGGTTATAGTCCATGAGCGAGTACCTGACATGCAGACCTATCCACCACTCCCAGATATATTCTTAGACAGGTAAGTTTTGTTTCTAAGTGCTAAGTTTGTAGGAGGTTGTTACAAAAACAGCAGTGATGATATATTTATGATAATTATATTGTTTCTTATTGTGGTAGGTAGATGTATACTTTCCATTTGCTTTATCTGGGGGTATAAAAAGATATGCTTTGAAATCACCTTTTTCACTTAAGAATAAGTTAGGTCTTCAGCCTAGGTAAATGAGAAAAACCACTGCTTCATTTTTTTAAATTTAATTTAATTGTATTTGATTTTCTATTTTGAGACAGTCTCACACTGCACTGTCATCCAGGCTGGAATGCAGTGGCACAACCATGGCTCACTGCAGCTTCAGCCTGTCGTGCTTAAGCAATTCTCCCACCTCAGCCTCCCAAGTAACTGGGACTATAGACATGTGCCACCACGTCCAGCTAATTGTTTTTTTTTTTTTTTTTTTTTTTTTTGAGACGGAGTTTCGCTCTTGTTACCCAGGCTGGAGTGCAATGGCGCGATCTCGGCTCACCGCAACCTCCGCCTCCTGGGTTCAGGCAATTCTCCTGCCTCAGCCTCCTGAGTAGCTGGGATTACAGGCACGCGCCACCACGCCCAGCTAATTTTTTGTATTTTTAGTAGAGACGGGGTTTCACCATGTTGACCAAGATGGTCTCGATCTCTTGACCTCGTGATCCACCCGCCTCAGCCTCCCAAAGTGCTGGGATTACAGGCTTGAGCCACCGCGCCCGGCCTTAATTTTTAAGTTTTCTGTAGAGATAGATCCCCAATGTGTTGCCCTGGCTGGTCTTGAACTCCTGGGCTCAAGCGATCCTCCTGCGGTAGCCTTCAAAATGTTGGGATTACAGGCATGAGCCATCATGCCTGGACTGCTTTCTTTATTTTTGTATAGTTATAGCTCCTTGGGTACTTTAGATTTTAAAAGGGTATCCTGGAAGGATGTTTGTAATAAATGGAAGTTGGTTGCCTTTTTTTTTTTTTAAATGAAAAATATAGTTCTGCTGTTTCAAAAATATTGATGGTGTCATATCATCAAATGAACTGGAACTATCACAAAGAATACAAATGGATTCAATGATAGCATGCTGTTTTTATTAAATACTGAATACATAAAAAAAGAATACAGTATATGTGTAACATATGAAAAATAAGAATAGAATAGGCCGGACATGGTGGCTCATGCCTGTAATCCCAATACTTTGGGAAGCCCAGGTGGGAGGATTGCATGAGTCCAGGAGTTCAAGACCAGCCTACAAGTTCCAGACTTGCAACATACCAAGACCCTCATCTCTCCAAAACGTTAAAAATTAGCCAGGCATGGTGGCACATGCCTGTAGTCCTAACTATTCAGAAGGCCAAGGTGGGAGGATCACTTGAGCCTAAGAGGTCAAGGTTACAGTGAGCTATAGTTGCACCACTCCACTCCAGCCAGGGCAACAGAGCGAGACCCTGCCTGTCTCCAGTAATAATAATGATAATAATAATAAAATAAACAAATACTCAACTATTTTCACATTTTTTATTTTTAAATCTTTTAAAAATTTATAGTACTTTCTTTTTTGTTTGTTTTTGGTTTTGTTTTCATTCTTTAGATGGAGCCTCACTCTGTTGCCCAGGCTGGAGTACAGTGGCACAATCTCATCTCCCTGCAACCTCCACCTCCCTGGTTCAAGCAATTCTCCTGCCTCAGCCTCCCAGGTAGCTGAGATTATAGGCACTCATCCCCGTGCCTGGCTAATTTTTGTACATTTAGTAGAGATGGGGTTTCACCGTGTTGGTCAGGCTGGTCTCAAACTCCTGACCTCTAGTGATCCACTCACCTTGGCCTCCCAAAGTGCTGGGATTACAGGCATGAGGCACTGTGCCTGGCCCTTGTTTTTGTTTTTAGTTTTTTTGTTTTGTTTTGTTTTGTTTTGTTTTTGAGACAGCATCTCACTGTGTCGCCCGGCTGGAGTGCAGTGGCATGATCTCTGCTCACTGCAACCTCCATTTTCCGGGTTCAAGCTATTTTCCTACCTCAGCCTCCCAAGTAGCTGGGACTACAGGCACCCACCACCATGCCTGGCTAATTTATTTTTAGTAGAGCTGGGGTTTCACCATATTGGCCAGGCTGGTCTCAAATTCCTGACCTCATGATCTGCCCTCCTTGCCCTCCTGAAGTGCTGGGATTACAAGCATGAGCCACCTCGCCCAGCCCCATGTATTTTTTTTATAAAACATTTTGCCCTTCTAAAAGTGCCTTGGCTGGGTATGGTGGCTCACACCTGTAATCCCAGCACTTTGGGAAGCCAACGCGGTTGGGATCACCTGAGATCAGGAGTTCGAGATCAAGAGTTCAAGACCAGCCTGGCCAACATGGTCAAACCCCATCTCTACTAAAAATACAAAAATTAGCCAGGCGTGGTAGCACATGCCTGTAATCCCAGCTACTCAGGAGGGTGAGGCAGGAGGCCAAGGTTGAACCTGGGAGGCAGAGGTTGCAGTGAGCCGAGATCGCACCATCACACTCCAGCCTGGGTGTCAGAGCAAGACTCTGTCTTAAAAAATAAAATAAAATAAAAGTGCATTGTAGTATGTGTATTTAAAAATGAAATGAATATAAAATGTCCATGTTCCTATGCCAGAATAATGTATATGTCACATTTTGCTCCCTATCAAACCCCAACTAAAACTGTAGTAAAGAGGTTTCTGTTGTTGTTGTTTTGAAACAGAGGTTAAGAGATCGAGACCAACCTGGCCAACATGGTAAAACCCTGTCCCTACTAAAAATACAAAAATTAGCCGGATGTGGTGGCAGGCGCCTATAATCCAGCTACTTGGGAGGCTGAGGCAGGAGAATTGCTTGAACCTGGGAGGCAGAAGTGGCAGTGAGCTGAGATTGCGCCGTTGCACTCCATCCTGGGTGACAAAGCAAGACTCTGTCTAAAAAAAAAAAAAAATTCATCTAGACAAAGAAGATGTTAGATTGAATGAGAACGGTGGCAGAGGTGGTATGAAAGAGTCAAATTCTATACGTATTTTGAAATTAGAGCTAATGGAATTTGCTGATGAATTTGGATTTGATGAATTAAGAGAAAGAGAGAAGTCAAATATTATTCCAAGGTTTGGGTTTTGTTTGTTTGTTTCGTTCTGGTTTTGAGACAGTCTCACTCTGTTCTCCAGGCTAGAGTTTAGTGGTACAGTCACAGATCACTGTAACCTCAGTTTCCTAGGCTCAAGTGATTTCCTGCCTTAGCCTTCTGAATCACTAGGACTACAGGTGTGTGCCACCACAACTGCCTGATTTTTAAATCTTTTGTAGAGATACGGTTTTGCTATGTTGCCTCGGCTGGTCTCAGACTTTGGCCTCAAGTGATTCTCCCATCTTGGCCTCCCAAAGCACTGGGATTGTAGGCATGAGTTACCACCCCCAGCCTATTCCAAGATTTTTAACCTGAGCATCTGTAAAGATGGGGTTGCCATTTACAGAGATGGGAAAACTGTGAAAGGAGCTGACCTGGAGGGAAAATTAAGGGTTTGGTTTTCAACATGTCGGGTTTAAGATACGTTTTATAGCAAAATCAGATGTCAAGTAAGGATGGAAATATAAACAGAACTTCAGAGAGACTGAGAGAGAAAGAGAGAGAGAGAGAGAGAAAGAGATCTAGGCTAGGTTTTGGGAATGGGCAGAGAGAATAGTATGCTGGAAGCCAAGCAAAAATAAAAAAAGTATTTTAAGACGTTAGGAACAATTGACTGTATCAAATGCTGCTGAGAGGGCAAGTAAGATGAGAGTAGTTTACCACTGGCTTTAGCAACATGTTGGTCTTCAGTGACTATGACAAGAGTTAATAAGGGCAAAATGGATTATAATGGTTTCAGGAGAGAATGTGAGTTGTATTGGAATTTATATGAAGGTACTCCACAAATATGAAACAACATGAGCACAATAGTATTTATGTGACATTATGTGTAATAATTATAAGCATTGTAAATAATCTAAATGCTTACCCATGGGAAGCTGGTTGAATAGACTATCATACCTCTAAACAGTGGAATACTATTTAATCATAGAAAAGAATGAAGACAATTTCTGTGAACTGATACAAAATTATTTGCAGGAAAACCTCAGCAACAATAGCACCATGAATACACAGATCATGATTTTAAAATACTATTCCCAGGTCAGGTACGGTGACTCACTTCTGTAATCCCAGCATTTTGGGAGGCCCAGGAGGGAGGATTGCTTGAGTCCAGGAGTTCTAGCCCAGCTTGGACAACATAGTGAAATTCAGTCTCTACAAAAAATTAAAAATTAGCTAGGTGTGGTGGTGTATGCCTGCAGCAACTTCAGAGGCTGAGTCAGGGGGATCACTTGAGCCCAAGAAATCAAGGCTGTAGTGAGCTGTGATCATGCCACTGCCCTCCAGCCTGGGTAACAAAACGAGACCCTTTGTTTGTCTTAGTGAGTAAACAAATAAATATATACCATTCCTCACAAAAATGGACCAGACCAGGGCTGGGATCAAACAAACGAAAAATAGTGGGGTGAGAGGGGAAGTTCTTGAAGAACAATATGGGCAAAATAAATGTGGATGGCATGATTATTCTGCCTCCTGCAGTGTATTCAGGCAAGTCATCAGTAGATGCTAAAATCTATTAGGTGAAAACCCACTGAGGGGGAGCTTATTCACATGATCTGAAAGTCTCATCTCACATATTACTTAATATGTGACAGAGGGAATGAGTAGCTTCACAATGGCAAGATCTAGAATGCATCATCTTAACCAAGTGATCAAAAGTAGCATCACAGTGAGACAAACTGACATTATGTGCATTGGATGTGATGTCCACAGCATCACCTCTGCAATAATCTTGTCCAAAAACAAAAAAGTTTAACCTATATCTAATCATGAAGAAACAATCAGATAAATCAAGAACATGGAATATTCTACAAGACAGCTGACATGGACTCTGAAAATGTCAGTGTCATGGCAGGCAAAAGCCAGGGGGAATTGTAAGGGAAATTGAAGAGACAACCAAAAGCAGCATGAACTTTAGTTAGATCCTATATAAAGAAAACAAAAATACTGCTATAAAATACATTTTGGGGACAATTAGGAAAACTGAAATATGGACTGCATATTAAATAATGAGTGAAGAAACTGTATAATACAATCACATGAAAGCAAAAACTGTGCTAATAATGAAAGTTTGGAAAGTAGAAAGCTAAGTACCTGTTGTGAAGTTGGGGATGGAAGGTGGCAGTGCCCAAGAGGTAAGTTTAAAGTACCAACCATCACTCAAGGCCTGGTACAGATAGGGGCTAAATAGGGGAGAATTGGTTATAAATCTATCTAAGCCTGGGCAACATGGTAAAACTCCATCTCCAAAAAATACAAAAATTAACCAGGCATAGTGGAGTGTGCCTGTAGTCCCAGCTACTTGGGTGTCTGAGGTGGGAGGATGGCTTGATCCCAGGAGGCAGAGGTTGTAGTTAGCCAAGATTGCGCCACTGCAATCTCAGCTAACTGGGCAACAGAGTGAGACCCTGTCAAAAAAAAAAAAAAATCTACTTAAGGTTTTAGACCTGCTCTACTCTGACAGAAGACTAGTGATCTGTTCTCCAGAGAAGCTGAATGTGAGGCACTGTAGACTTAGGGATACCATGTCCAGATGAGAACAAAGGTGCTGTTTTCAAGAGGATTTATTAAAAGTCTGTATACCAATCACAGAGACTTCTAGCTCTTCCTTAAGTAGCCAGACTTATTTCCTATCACCTCTCTCACCCAACCCCAGTCTTCCACGAAGGATAAGATTCCTTTCCTTAGAAAACCTAGAGAAAAACACTGTGAATAACTGGTTGGGATAGGATATCCTTTTCTTTCTTTCTTTCTTTTTTTGAGATGGTGTCTCACCTTGTTGCCCAGGCTGGAGTGCTGTAGCACAATCTTGGCTCACCTGCAACCTCCACCTCCTTGGTTCAAGCGATTCTCCTGCCTCAGTCTCCCAAGTAGCTGGGATTATAGGTGTCTACCACCATGCCCAGCCAATTTTTGTATTTTTAGTAAAAATGGGGTTTCACCGCATTGGCCAGGCTGGTCTCAAAACTCCTGACCTCAGGTGATCCACCCGCCTCAGCCTCCCGAAGTGCTGGCATTACAGGCGTGAGCCACCACACCCGGCTTGGGATATCCTTATTTAGTCAACCAGATCTCTGTACACTCACTCTCAGTGAAACCCACAACTTGACAAAGCTCAGTCTATGCCCACAGAATATCTCATTATCTTTTTTAGTACTTTACGGTCAAATATGAATGGTCAGTCAAGAAACCAGACGTCTGAGAAAAACATTAATGCAAACAGAAAAAAAAGTAAATTAGAAAACACAAAATAGGGAACAGGTGAACACTTCAAAAAAACAACTTTCATATTTTCATGAGAAATAAGAGATGTTGCATTCTGTGTGACGGTAATGAGAAGCCAAAAGAAAATTCAGAGAAAAAGAGCTTTTGGAAAATAAATGAAAGTAGAGGTTTAAAATCCAGCAGGGGCTGGGCACAGTGGCTCATACCTGTAATCCTAGCACTTTGGGAGGCCGAGGCAGCCAGATCCTCTGAAGTCAGGAGTTCAAGACCCACCTGGCCAACACGGTAAAACCCTGTATCTACTAAAAATGTAAAAGTTAGCCAGGTGTGGTGGCAGGTACCTGTAATCCCAGCTACTCAGAAGGCTGAGGCCGGGAGAATTGCTTAAACCCGAGAGGCGAAAGTTGCAGTGAGCCAAGATCACACCACCAGACTCCAGCCTGGGCAACAGAGCAAGATTCTGTCCCAAAAAAAATAAAATTCAGCAGGATTGGCTGGGCACCATGGCTCACACCTGGAATCCCAGCACTTTGGGAGGCCAAGGCTAGTAGATAACTTGAGGTCAGGAGTTCAAGACCAGGCTGGCCAACATGGTGAAACCCCATCTCTACTAAAAGTACAAAAATTAGCTGGGCGTGGTGGCGGGCACCTGTAATCACAGCTACTCAGGAGGCTGAGGCAAGAGAATCAGTTGAACACGGGAGGTGGAGGTTGCAGTGAGCTGAGATCATGCCACTGCATTCCAGCCTAGGCAACAAGAGCGAAACTCCGTCTCAAAAAAAAAACAAAAACAACAAAAAAAACAGGTTCTGATAGGTGGGGTAATTTATGACACAGATTTTTTCCTCCCAGTTTCTCTAAATATCATCTTCTGAAAGAGGTAAAAGTTATATAAAGCCAATTTTAAGGTCATTATTAAAAGAGCACCTTACGGAAAAGGGTGGCATCATTCACATCCATACTTCTTCAATTCAAAATCATTTTGTTCTGTTCCAGCGTTCCTAGAATCCCATGGGCCTTTGCCATGACGGAAGTATGTGGCATGATTCTGTGCTATATTTGGCTCCTGGTTCTTCTTCTTCACAAGCACAGGTACCTCATTACTCCATTAAAAGATTGAACATGTGTTGACTCTTGTATCAAGGTCATAAAACCTTGTCTTTCTCTTTGCAGTTTGCTTGTTAATTTTCTTCTATAGTAATTGTGACATAGTTATTAACAAAAGAAAATGTTTTGAGTTTGATGAGTAAGAGTCAGCCTAAGATAATATCTACATATTTAATAATATCCTGAATGCATTTTGCAAGGAAATATCAGAGATGAGGATGATTAGGCATAGGGCAACCATTGCTGTATGGCTGGTCACCTTCACCTCTGATCTAAAGAAAGATAAGAGGCCAGGCTCAGCTGCTCAAGCCTGTAATCTCAGCACTTTGGGAGGCTGAGGTGCGCAGATCACTTGAGGTTAGGAGTTTGAGACCAGCCTGGCCAACATGGTAAAATCCTATCTCTTACTAAAAATACAAAAATTAGCCAGGTGTGGTGGCCCATGCCTGTAATCTCAGCTACTTGGGAGGCTGAGGCAGGAGAATAGCTTGAACCCGGGAGGCAGAGGTTGCAGTGAACCAGAAATCACACCAGTGTACTCCAGCCTTGGCGGCAGAGTAAGACTCCATCTCAAAAAAAAAAGAAAGAAAGATAAGAAAGTTTTATCTTCCTTTAGAAACAAACTGGAAATGTCTCTTTCTGTAGAAGGATAGAAACTCTTCCAAGGACATTCCTTGGTCAGATGTTTAGGTGGAAGAAATTTTCTCTGCTTGGAGGAAGCCCATTAAAAAAGAGATTATTGGCCAGGCGCGGTGGCACATACCTGTAATCCCAGCACTTTGGGAGGCTGAGGCAGGAGGATTACTTGAGCCCAGGTGTTTGAGACCAGCCTGGGAGAGACTCTGTCTCTACAAAAAAAGTTAAAGATTAACCAGGTGTGGTGGCACATGCCTATAGTCCCAGCTACTCAGGAGGCTGAGGTGGGAGGATTACTTGAGTCCAGGAGGTCAAGGTTGCAGTGGGCTGTGATTGTGCCACTGTACTCCAACCTGGGTGACAAGAGTAAGACTCTGTCTCCAAAAAAAAAAAAGAAAGATTATTTTGTACAACATGTGCATATAGACTGTGTGGTTTACTTCAGATGGCATAGAAAGTTGCTAAATTGGAAAGTGATTCTTGGCACTTACACCAAAAATGAAGGAAATAATTTATTTATTTTATTTATTTTTACTGCTTCTTGTGGAGCAAGGCTAAGTCACCAGCAGTGTACCCAGCGTTCAGCCGGAAGAAATTTTTTAATTAAAAAAAAGAAGCATGGGGGGCTTCTTTCTTAGTTTAATGGGCAAGAAGAATTAGTGGATTTAAGTAAAAAACAAGGCATTGTGAGCTAAAAATTTAAAGATAAAATTAGTAAATATTGCCTAAGAGCTCCTGAGGGGGTTAAAAAAAAAATTGTAGATGTGTGAGCTTTTGAGATTGCTTTTAAAAAAAGATTTGTAGCTTCTGCTGTCCATTGTCTTTGGAACACTGGAGAGAGGAACAACGGTAGTTTCTTGAGGTTTTGACCTTTCTCCTCACCAGGAAGTGCTTGAGGTAAACCACAGTGATGAGCCCTAGGTCCTAAGCAGCAGTTATTTCAGTGTTCTGAAGGTAAAAAGAAAGGTTGGTGGTTACTATTCTTATCACACTTTTAGGCCACATTGAGCCTCATTCTCTCCCATTTTGCCCTGTTTTGCAAATATTTTTAATTCTGGATTGCTTAAAACCAGAGGTGGTTTTAAAACATGTGTATCGTTGCTGCTTTCTGGTTAACTTTGCCTCACAAGATCTTATGAATTTGAATTTACTCTTCAAAACCGGAGTTTACCTTACAAGAAACTTTGGTAGGTTTAACAAAGCATAGAGATAACCTGTTAAATCCAAGTGTTAATGTTTACTTAGTCAAATAAAGTGTTTCTCAAAGTGTTAGTACCATTTTAATTAGAATCACCTGGGTGTTTGTTAAAATGCAGGTTCCTAGGCTCCATCCCAGGAATGCACACTAATGCTTGAAACATACCTGGCCTTGTGTACAGTGCTTTTTTTTGATGGGGGGAGGATCATTTCAAAAATATGTGATACTCCGGCGCGGTGGCTCAAGCCTGTAATCCCAGCACTTTGGGAGGCCGAGGCGGGTGGATCACGAGGTCAAGAGATCGAGACCATCCTGGTCAACATGGTGAAACCCCGTCTCTACTAAAAATACAAAAAATTAGCTGGGCATGGTGGCGCGTGCCTGTAATCCCAGCGACTCAGGAGGCAGGGGCAGGAGAATTGCCTGAACCCGGGAGGTGCAGGTTGCGATGAGCCGAGATCGCGCCATTGCACTCCAGCCTGGGTAACAAGAGTGAAACTCTGTCTCAACCACCATGCCCAGCTAATTTATGTGATGCATGGTCCCTGTCCTCAGGAATCTTCGTCTGAATTTAAAGAAATAATGTAACGGTGCTAGTGTTGTCACAGTGCAGTTCATCATTATCCAAAACTTAGTTTTTTTAAAACTTAGTATTTTATAGCTTAAGAGAAGTTAGAATGAGTATTCGGTAGCTATTATCATTAACTAATTTACAATGGGTTTTTTTTGTTTTGTTTGAGACTGGGTGTTGCTCTGTCACTCAGGCTAGAGTATAGTGGCATTATCATGGCTCACTGCAGCCTTGACCTCCTGGGCTCAATCAGTCCTCTCACCTTAGCCTAGAACTGCAGGCACATAACACCATGCCTAATTTTTTGTAGACAGGGTCTTACTGTGTTGCCCAGGCTGATCTCAAATTCCTGGCCTCAAGCAATCCTCCTGCCTTGGTCTCCCAAAGTTCTGGGATTATGAGCTATGAGCCACCGCACCTAGCCTACAGTGTTACTAATGAGCAAAATATTCCCTAGAATCACAGGTCATTTAACCTTGCCTTCTTTTCTTATTTTCTATTTTTATTTTTTTGAGACAAGTCTCTTTCTGTAACCCAGGCTAGAGTGCAGTAGCACAATCATGGCTCGCTGCAGCCTACATCTCCCAGGCCCAAGCAACCCTCCCACCTCAGCCTCCCAAGTAGCTGGGAACACAGGTGTGCACCACCACATCCAGCTCATTTTTTTATTATTTGTAGAGATGAGGTCTGGCTATGGTGTCCAAGCTGTTGTCAAACTCCTGGACTCAAGCTATCCTCCCACCTTGGCCTCCCAAAGTGCTGCAGTTACAGGCATGAGCCACCATGCCTGGCCAACTGTATCTCTTATAAGTAATTTATGAGCAATTTTCAGTAATAGGACTAACACCAGGCTTACTTGTCTTCTGTCTTATATAACTCTTTTACTTTTTCTTAGCCATCTTTTCTTTTTTTTGAGAGAGAGAGAGTTTTGCTCTTGTTGCCCAGGCTGGAGTGCAGTGAAACAATTTCAGCTCACTCCAACCTCTGCCTCCCGGATTCAAACGATTCTCCTGCCTCAGTCTCTCAAGTAGCTGGGATGGCAGGCATGTGCCACCACGCCTGGGCCATATTTTCTTATCAGTGAAATGATGCTCTTAGAATCTAATTTAGGTCTGCATTGTTCATTATGGCAAAATTTAAATTAACTAAAATGAAATAAAATTTAAAATTTAGTTCCTCAGTCATACTGGCCACATTTCAAGTCCTTAAGATCCACATGGTATGTAAATAGCTTCTTGGACAGTGTATTGAACATTTCCATCATTGTAGAGACTTCTATTGGACAGTGATACTTTTGATGGTCTTTAAGATTTCTGTCCTCTTCAAAGAGTCTAGTGGTTTTTCTACTTGCTCTTCGTTGAAGTAAATATTTGATGCCTGGGGTTTTTTGGTTTGCTTTCTTCTGATCTTTCCCCCTTTTTGATCGCTCTCTTCACAGGTCAATACTTCTGCGAAGGCTCTGTAGTCTGATGGGAACTGTATTCTTGCTTCGCTGCTTTACCATGTTTGTGACCTCCCTCTCCGTGCCAGGACAACACTTGCAGTGTACTGGAAAGGTAGCCTGCTACCTTCTTTATCATTCTTGTTCTTGGTGGGTTGATGGCACACTAAATGCAGTAGGGCTAAGATTTCGCTTATAGTATTTAAAAGTGTGTTTTAGTATCTGCAATGCCTATTTAAAAAACTATAGAAATACTTTGGTAAATGTCTTAAGCCAAATTCTTCTACCTCCCTATTATTTCTGTTGAAACTTGTTCTATGCTTTGGAGCTATAGAAAACAAGTTTCTTTCAATTATCATTTTTCCTTTCCCACTATCCTCAGCATTTTTAAAGTTTCTCATATGGCATGCTCTGGTTCCTTCTCTGTCCTCCTCACTCCTTTAAAAATGTTGCAGGCCAGGTGTGGTGGCTCACGCCTGTAATCACGCACTTTGGGAGGCCAAGGCAAGTGGGTCACCTGAGGTCAGGAGTTCAAGACCCAGCCTGGCCAACAGGGTGAAACCCCGTCTCTACTAAAAATACAAAGAGTTAGCTGGGCGTGGTAACAGGCACCTATAATCCCAGGTACTCAGAAGGCTGAGGCATGAGAATCACTTGAACCCAGGAGGCTGAGGTTGCAGCAAGCTGAGATGGCACCATTGCACTCCAGCCTGGGCAACAAGAGTGAAGCTCCATCTCAAGGGAAAAAAAAGAAGTTGCAGTTTGACCACCTACCCAGCACTCTAAACTTGACTCTTTCTGAGATTAAACAAAATAATGGCTGACGTTTGGTTTTCATTTTATACTTTGTAGTTTGTTTTGGTATACTATAGACATCTCTTCTGGTTAAAGTGAGAAGAAGTTATACAGATGGGGACAAAATAAGACTCTGAAAATCGCGTGTGCTTTATATACAAAATTGGCTAAAATCTATATACAAATTTGCAAAGTTTATATACAAATTTGGACAAAAGAATCCTACTTTTCTAGGCCTCTGTGCTTTAATTCTGTGTTCTCACATATTCAAATAAATGTATGTGTTAACACCCTTTGTAGGTATTTTAATGTTGTTTGTAACAGCATTCAAGTTCACTTCTTGTACTGTAATATCATAGCTGAAATGCCAACAAGGGAAGATTAAGCAGCCAAAGGAGATCAAGAGCTAAAAATATACCCCTGAGCTGAAGAGTGACAAAACTTTCTCCTGGTATTAGGAAGGCTTAGACTGACCAGTAAGAAACGGGGAAGGGTTAATATGACACAGGATTTCATGTAAAGAAAATGTGTTATTTTTAAGGTAAAAGCTGTTTTGAGGTCTTTTTTTCTTTTTCCCAAAAGGGAAAGTAATTTTTTCCAATTATAAAATTGTATGTTTATTATAAAAATTCAAATTCTCATATGGCATGCTCTGGTTCCTTCTCTGTCCTCCTCACTCCTTTAAAAATGTTGCAGGCCAGGTGTGGTGGCTCACGCCTGTAATCCCAGCACTTTGGGAGGCCGAGGCAGGTGGATCACTTGAGGCCAAGAGTTCAAGACCAGGCTGGCCAAAATGGTGAAACCCCATCTCTACTAAAAATACAAAAAATTAGCCGGACGTGGTAACAGGCACCTATAATCCCAGCTACTCAGGAGGCTGAGGAAGGAGAATCACTTGAACCCAGGAGGCAGAGGTTGCAGGGAGCTGAGATCACACCACTGCACACCAACCTGGGCGACAGAGCAAGATTCCATCTCAAAAAAAAAAAGTGATATGTATTGCTAAAATGCTCACTTGAAAAAATGATTTTCTCACTACTACCAACAGGTATGCATGTCCGTTTTCTCACCCTCTTGCCAGTACTGCCATTCTGACTGATGAAAGATAATATCTGATGCTTTTGTGATCTTATTTTTTATATTTTAAATTTTTTATTTATTTTGAATTTGTTTCTGTACATGATGTACACAGTTTCTCCAAAATACTGTGCTATGTACATGGTATGAAGAGTTTCACCAAAATAGTATGCTAGTTGATTAGGGGAGATTTTATTTTATTTTATTTTATTTTAAGACAGATTCTCGCTTTGTCACCTAGGCTGGAGTACAGTGGCATGATCATAGCTCACTCTTGGCCTCAAATTCCTGGTACTGCCTCAGCCTCCTGAGAAGCTGGGACCATAGGCATGCACCACCACACCCAGCTAATTTTAATTTTTATGTAGAGACCTGATTTCACTTTGTTGCCCAGTCTGATCTCGAACTCCTGACTTCAAGCGTTTTTCCCATTTTGGCCTCCCACAGTGTTGGGATTACAGGCATGAGCCACCACACCCAGCAAGGACAGATTTTATTTATTTATTTATTTATTTTTTTTTTTTTTTGAGACGGAGTTTCACTCTTGTTACCCAGGCTGGAGTGCAATGGCGCGATCTCGGCTCACCGCAACCTCCGCCTCCTGGGTTCAGGCAATTCTCCTGCCCCTGCCTCCTGAGTAGCTGGGATTACAGGCATGCGCCACCATGCCCAGCTAATGTTTTGTATTTTTAGTAGAGACGGGGTTTCACCATGTTGACCAGGATGGTCTCGATCTCTTGACCTTGTGATCCACCCGTTGGGCCTTCCAAAGTGCTGGGATTACAGGCTTGAGCCACCGCGCCCGGCCAAGGACAGATTTTAAAGAAGAAAAATGTAAGCTTATTACACTGAAAAAAGAAAATTTTCTGTCGCTAAGGGATTTAATTATAGGACAGCCACCAAGGAGAGGGATATATGTGCATAGGGCTGCAACATATGCTAAAAAATAAATTAGATACCATCCCTCTATGGTATAAACAGCCCTTTTTTGGCCTCTAATGACTGTTTTTATCAGTTCGTTATATATAGATATTTCTACTCAAATCTGCCCTAAATACTGTTAATTGGTTTGAATTATGATATAACCTACTTATTGACCCGTATTATTTGCAACAATTGTTATATATAGAAAGATAAAGTAATAGTAACTAGAAATCAAATCCCTTACAGTGAATTCCATAGGGTACTTTCATTATATTAAATTAATTGCTTGAAATTGCATTCCCAGAAGTAAGGGGTTTGGGGACAGAATCAAGAACATGCCTGCTTTTGAAATTTAGAAACACTTAAAGCATATTTCTACACCTTCTTTTGTTAAAACATCCTATTCATTCTGCTCTGTTGTGTTTCACTTTTTGCTTTTCTAGAAGAATATATGGGATATTTAAGATGAGAAAGGATCAAGAGATAACTGCCTTTTGACTGTCATCACTAGGTTCCTATCCTTGGTTGAGACATTTTCCTAGTAGTCCCTTCTCTTTATTTACTACATGATTTTTTACTTTCTCAGAGTAACATCTCTAAGCCTGTGTTCATTAGCGATCATGGAAGAACCAAACTCATGTATATTCTCTTTCTTTCTCTCTAATAATAAATTCTTCTCCCTCCCTTTCCCTCAAATGAGGCAGAAAGGGAAAGCTGAGTGGTGTGTAATCAGCAGGTGAGATTCCTAATGAGATTGTGATATCTATGTGGCTGTTCATTTTGGTCATGTTTGTTTTTGTTTTGTTTGAGAAGGAGTCTTGCTCTGTTGCCACGCTGGAGTGTGCCACCGCAGCCTCCAACTTCCTGGTTCAAGCAATTCCCCTGCCTCAGTCTCCAAGTTGCTGGGATTACAGGCGCCTGCCACCATGCCCAGCTATTTTTGTATTTTTAGTAGAGACGGGTTTCACCATGTTGGCCAGGATAGTCTCAATCTCCTGACCTCATGGTTCGCCTGCCTAGGCCTCCCAAAGTGCTGGGATTACAGCATGAGCCACTTTGCCCAGCCAGTCATATGCAATAGAATCTTTAAGACATAGGGCTGGCCGGGTGCGGTAGCCCACGCCTGTAATCCCAGCACTTTGGGAGGCCAAGGCGGGTGGATCACAAGGTCAAGAGATCAAGACCATCCTGGTCAACATGGTGAAAACCCCGTCTCTACTAAAAATACAAAAATTAGCTGGGCATGATGGTGCACACCTGTAGTCCCAGCTACTTAGGAGGCTGAGGCGGGAGAATTGCTTGAACCCAGGAGGCGGAGGTTGCGGTGAGCCAAGATCGTGCCGTTGCACTCCAGCCTAGGTAACAAGAGCGAAACTCCATCTCAAAAAAAAAAAAAAAAAGCATAGGGCTTTGGAATTGAGGTCCCTGGTTTCACCTCCTGCCTATGTTACTTACTAGCTATGTAACCTCTGTAAGCCAGGTTCCTCATCTGTATAGTTAAATCACTTTATAGGATTGCTGTGGAAATTAAATCCAGTATCACATAAAGCACTTAGCAGCATGCCTTGCACATAGTAAATGCACATAAAATTTTGGCAACTTTTTGTACCATTATTATGTTATTAAATTGTATTATTATTATAATATTGGTATGCCTTATTTTTAAAGTGACTGTCCCTCTTTTTTTTTTTTTTTTTTTTTGATGCTCTGCACGTTCAGAGAAACTTCTCTTAATAACAAACTATAAAAGTGATCCCGGAAATACAGTCTTGACTGTCCCTCTTTTGTAAAGCAGCTATCACTCAAAGTCTTCCTCAAAATTGATTGCTTTTTTAGGTGTATGTGTGAGAGTTGGGATTAGGTTTGGCTGCTGATAACTGGAAATTCAAAGTGGCTATGGTTTAATAAACACACAATGGTTTATTCTCTCCCAAAAAAGAGTCTGAAGGTAGGTACACCAGGTCTGGTGTGATAATTTTACCAAGTTATCAAAAAAAACAAAAAACAAAAAACCATCATTCTTCTGTCTTTCTGGTCTTCTATCCCAATACTTGCCTTGTATCCCCAAGGCCACTTTGTGGTCCAAGATGGCTGCTGGAGTTTTAACTCCACTTGAATGAGTCTGAGTTGTAGATTAGAAGAAGGAAAGGTAGAAAGTTAGACTTCCTCAAAACTGTTGTCTCTTACCTTGATAAGTAGCCTTCTCAGAAACCTTTAACACTTTTACTTAGAACTTACTGTACAGAACTTAGTCACATGGCCACACCTAGCTACAAAGGAGGCTGGGAAAGGCAATATTTTGGCTGAATTCATTGCTGCCTCAATATGTTTGAGATTCTGTTACCAGTGAAGAAGAGGAGAATGGATGTTGAGTGGCAGACATTGATTTCTGTCTGTCATAGCCTATGTCTTATTGGCAAGAATAGCCAAGCAAATACTACTGTGATATTGGATTAAAAACTTGGAGATGTTTTTATGTTACAGAGAACTTTTTATTATAAAGGAACTCCTAATAAAGTAGTTCATGTTACAGTAATTTCATTTATTTTTTAAAATTATTATTATTAATTTGAGACAGTCTCACTCTGTCGCCCAGGCTGGAGTACAGTGTTGTAATCTCGGCTCACTGCAACGTCTGCCTCCTTGGTTCAAGTGATTCTCCTGCCTCAGCCTCCTGAGTAGCTGGGATTATAGGCACACGCCCCCACACCTGGCTAATTTTTGTATTTTTAGTAGAGATGGGATTTCACCATATTGGCCAGGCTGGTCTTGAGCTCCTGTATTCATGATCTTCCCACCTTGGGTTTTCAAAGTGCTGGGATTATAGGTATGAGTCACTGCATCCAGCCAATTTTTTTTTTTTTTTTGAGACAGAGTCTCACTCTTGTCACCCCTCTTGGGGTGCAGTGGTGCCTCTGCCTCCGAGGTTCAAACGATTCTCCTGCCTCAGCCTCCTGAATAGCTGGAATTATAGGTGGCTGCCACCACACCGAGCTAATTTGTGTTGTTTTTTTTGTTTTTTTTTTTGAGACGGAGTTTCGCTCTTTGTTACCCAGGCTGGAGTGCAATGGCGTGATCTCGGCTAACCACAACTTCCGCCTCCTGGGTTCAAGCAGTTCTCCTGCCTCAGCCTCCTGAGTAGCTGGGACTACAGGCATGCACCACCATGCCCAGCTAATTTTTGTATTTTTAGTAGAGACGGGGTTTCACCATGTTGACCAGGATGGTCTCGATCTCTTGACCTCATGATCCACCCGTCTCGGCCTCCCAAAGTGCTGGGATTATAGGCGTGAGCCACCGCGCCCAGCCATTTGTGTATTTTTAATAGAGATGGGGTTTCACCATGTTGGCTAGGCTGGTCTTGAACCCCTGACCTCAGGTGATCCACCTGCCTCAGCCTCCCAAAGTGCTGGGATTACAGACCTAGCATTCATTAGACTGAGGGCCTGGCTACTTTGGCTTAGATCTTATTTCTCATTTATTCAGTATTTGCATTTGAATGGGAATGGATGTTGGGAAGTTCCTACTTCTCTAAGCATTTGAAGCACTAATTCATAGCTTTTCTTTATAGATATACGGCAGTGTATGGGAGAAATTACATAGGGCCTTTGCCATTTGGAGTGGCTTTGGTATGACCCTGACTGGCGTTCACACATGTGGAGATTACATGTTCAGTGGCCACACAGTCGTCCTAACTATGCTGAATTTCTTTGTCACCGAATGTAAGTATCTTTCTAGTGCTTCTATGCATATTAGATAACTAGCTGCAGTAAAGACTGTGGGAAGGGTGTCAAATCCTGTGAAGAATGGGAAGACAGCCTGACCTGAGAAATATGTGACTGAGAAGCACTGGAAGGAATGTGGCTTTAAAATGATCTTTCTGTCCTTTTCCTAGATACACCAAGAAGCTGGAATTTCTTGCACACTTTATCCTGGGTTCTCAACCTCTTTGGAATCTTCTTCATCTTGGCTGCCCATGAACATTATTCCATTGATGTGTTTATTGCTTTTTATATAACAACAAGACTCTTTTTGTACTACCATACTCTGGCCAATACCAGAGCATATCAGCAGAGTAGGAGAGCAAGGATTTGGTTTCCCATGTTCTCTTTTTTTGAATGCAATGTTAATGGCACAGTACCTAATGAATATTGTTGGCCATTTTCAAAACCAGCAATAATGAAAAGACTAATTGGATAAGACTATCTTTATAATGAGTTTGTGATTAAATATGTAATAGTTGTTGAAAATTGAGTAACTTTGCGTTCTCCCCCTAGGTTGTTCCTAGATGCCTGGCTTATATGTTGATGAACTAAAGTTTCCTGTTCTGAGCAAAGTTATCATTATACAAACCAAGAAATTACAATCGAGAGTCCTTATGTAGCTTTTTGAACAGAAAGCTTAAGTAGATGTTTTCTGCCCCTTCACTTTAGGAAGACAATGTTGTGATTGAAGTCAGGCTGTTACCTTTACCTGTAGAGCATTTGCTTATTGAACTTAAACAAGTCAACTCAGCAGTTTGCTGGTTGAGAGATTTTCATTTTCAGTAGAGCTCTAGTCAAGACATAATATATTTTGAAGCTCTTCATTATCTTTAAAAGAAGAAGCCCTACCAAATCATCAGTACTTGTTCTTTGGACTAATCTCTCTGTCAGTTTAAAAAATGCAACCCTGGGACATGATCTGTTTTACTGCAAACAGTTTCGCCTTCTGAACCATCTCTAAGTATACTGAGCATACCAGGATGCCTGAAATAAGAAGAGAATGATAGAGGCCATTTATGATATGACCCAGTACTGACCAGGATGCCATTGGCCTCCTCATTAATGCAAATGTAGGGCTGGCATTTTTCACCAAAGATGCAACAAAAGATGCAGTTCTGAGTGTTCAGTATGACCACCAGTAAGTATTCATGAGGGGAAAATGGCTGCATCCATAAAAATAAATGAATTTAATATTAGTGGTAAAGGTACCTGGAATAACTTTGTGCTATAGTTGTTAGATGACAGTCCAATTTTATGCTTTTTTAATGATGTTACTTAATGAGCCAAATAGGAGTGTTTTGCAGATGTTAAATAAAGTTCTTATGTCGTTAAGTAGGGAAGTATGCATGCAAAGAATTGTTTTCTCCTGAAAAGAAACTTATAGCAAGCATAATATCACTTTTTGGTTTTTGAAATTCCTCCTTCTTGGCCGTTGGAAGTAAGTAGTCTCAGACATACTTGGATATGAAAAAGCTTTGTTGTTTTTTACTTTATAATGGTGTATATACATTCTTTCTATTTAGTCTTAATTTGGCAGTCAGGAAGTGATATAACTTAGCTGCTATTTGCAACACTAGAAACTTAGTACTTTAAGTCATTTCACCTCTGTGATAACATTTGTTATTTTTATGATTTATGCAATAGTTATGACAGTAGGATGGTTATGGAATTGGAATTTCAACTCCAACTAATGAGCTTAGCTGCTTGGAATATTAATTATGTAGTTTTTACATTCCATTTTAATACAAAGACTTAGAAAAGGTGCTGGCATTCTGAGGCCTAACATTAGGCTGCATAGCAGAAGCTTGCTCCTTCTTTATCTGGGTGAAATTTTTTTTTTTTTTTTTTTTGCACTTTGAGTCATATTCCCACCCCTGTATAAGCTATATAGGAGCCTGAATGAATTGGGTAGGAAGGGAAATTATGCAAACAAGTCTCAGCTAGCGTTAAATGACCCCAATTTCTATGTGCTCCTAACATTATTTTTTTCTCACTTGAGAAATGGTGCAAGGCAATTCAAGTTTTATGCTTTTAAAACTCACACCTCAGAATCTGATATCTTAAATTGCTGATTCTGTTACATGCTAGGAACAAAATGCCAACATCTCATGTAAAGAAGTCGCATTATCATGAAAAGTAACGGATGTTTTCTATGCTAGTTAGATTGGTTTGACCCTTGAGGTTAAAAGATGTGTGACTCTTATTTTTCTATATGACAGAACAGACTGAATTTAGCTAGGGAGGCACAGATGTTGGCTTTTGGGAAAGAGTTAAAAAATCTTTATGGCAATATTAATGTTAAAATGTTAAGTCGAGTACAGTGGTGCAAGTCTGTAGTCCCAGCTTCTGAGGAGGCTAACTTAGCCTTAGAGGCAAGAGGACTGCTTGAGGCCAGGAGTTAGAGGCTGGAGTGTGTTATGATAATGCCTATGAATAACTACTACATTCCAGCCTGGGCAACGTAGCAAGACTCCTTCTCTTAAAAACATGGCCAGATGCAATGGCTTATGCCTGTAATCTCAGCACTTTGGGAGGCTGAGGCAGGCAGATGATTTGAGGTCAGGAGATCGAGACAAGCCTGGCCAATGTGGTGAGACCTCGTCTACTAAAACTACAAAAATTGGCTGGGCATGGTGGCACACACCTGTAATCCCAGTTACTTGGGAGGCTGAGGCATAAGAATTGCTTGAACCCGAGAGGTGGAGGTTGCAGTGAGCTGAGATTGCGCCATTGCACTCCAGCCTGGGTGACAGAATGAGACTCCATCTCAAAAAAAGAAAAAAAAAAAAAAAATGGGTTCAGTGGCTGATACCTGTAATCCCAGCACTTTGGGAGGCCGAGGCAGGAGGACCACTTGAGCTCAGGAGTACGAAACCAGCCTGGGCAACAGAGTGAGACTTCGTCTCTACAAAAAGCTTTTTAGAAAATTAGCTGGGCGTGGTGGTGCACGCCTGTGGTCCCAGCTACATGGCAGCCTGAGGCAGGACGATCACTTGAGCCCCAGGAGGTTGAAGCTACAGTGAGCTCTAATCATGCCACTGCACTCCAGCCTGGGTGACAGAGTCAGACCCTGTCTCAATAAATAAATAACAAAAAATTAAATAGCTATTAACATCAGTCTTGTTTCCTTCATATAAATTCTATTCTAGTACCAAATAGAAAAATAAATGCAACTAACTTTGCAGAGCTATTGACATTGAGAGTGCCTAACCACAATGGAGATTGTAAAATAACTTTTCAGCCTTGCATTTGCTCATACATGTTTTGAGGAAAATGTAAGTTAGGTTTATAACTCATTGTTTTAATTATTATTATAAGGCAGTGTTTACATAAATTAATCATCTCTTTCTTGGAGAACATTGAGACAAAATTATTTTCAGTTTTACCTAAACATGAAACCTATATTTTAGTTGCTTTTTGTTTTGTCCAGAAATTTCCAGATTTTTGTCTTCATATTTTTTTCTGCTTAAAATCAAAATCACAATGAATATAGTATTTATGTTTACATTTTATCTGTGAATGTGGCTAAGCAGAGAAGCTATATGCCTTGTGTCTGCATATTTTTTGACATTGTGTTTGGTTCTATAGGGTGCAGACTTGTGAGAAGCTTACGTTATCATGGAGACTTTAGTATAGAAGAAACCAAAATGTTTTTGGTTTGGGGATGCAAACTGGAGGTTGTGTTGCAAGTCCTCGATGCATTTTCTGTGTTCCTGAGAGCAGTGTCACCTTTTTTCTTTTTCCTTTTTCTTTTTTCTTTTCTTTTTTTTTTTTTTTAAGACCAGGCAGGGTAGTGTTATTGAAGAGTAACTGAAGAGTTGGTAGAGAGTAAGAGGTTTTGAAGAAGGCAGGTTTGCTGTTGTCACCAAATAATTTGGGGGAAACCTTTCTTGGCTGTGCTACAAGAATTCTTTGGCTATCCTCTCCATGGTTCTCTGACCAGAATTGCTAGGGCAAAAATAGAACTTCTGGCTCTATTTATTTGTATCCTTTGAAATCAGAAAGCAATGAACTTAGCCTTAGAAGCAGTCAGTTAAATAATGCGAGCTATTCACATGAAAAACCCAGTGACGGAGAAACCAGAACCCACTGACCAAGAGACCTGCAGGGAATGTAACTCTTACTCTGTGAGCAGCAGTCTTTTGTGCCCTGTCCCTGCCTGTGTGTTTTTCCAGAAATCCTATAATTTGTAAATGGGGAACAGAGGAGACAGATTCTTTTATAGCTGATAAGAAACAGTCTGTTTTAGAAACAGCTGTTTGAAAAGTATTACTCATATATTCACAAAGTCATATTTAAAACACTAATCTGCTTTGACTATATTCAGCAAAAGACAGTTTCACCATTAATTTCATAGTAAGCTTTTTAAAAAAGTTCTAGTTCTAAATTACCTAAGAATGTTAACCACATTCTTGTTTTAAACTCTAATTTAATAAATTTAATTATTTGATAGTCTTTTATAGACTTAAGTTTTCTTCATACTAAAGGTAATTATGATATAGTCATTTGCCAGTTCTTTAAGGTATTCAGGCATTTGAGACAAGAAAGCTCTCTTGTAGAATAGTCCAATTGCTTTCTTAAACAGTATTGGTTTCATTTAGACAGCTTAGCCAGCAAAGGTGTCAATTTTAATGCCAACTTGACAGTTTAACAGTTCGTGGTTGTCCGCAGTTTAGCCTGAATTTCCCTGTACTGCTATAGAGCAGAATTGTTGGTAACATCAGAGTCAGAATGCTTCAGGTGACTGAGAAGAACGGAAACAGACCAAGCAGGTTTTTCTGTTCTTTTCCTTGTCTTTGAGTAGCTTTGAATGACTAAAATTAGTATGAAACTAGGTTTTACACTCCCTTTTCCCCTCACCCGGATGTAATGCCACCAATTTCAAATAACTAAAATGTAACCAATTACTTTGCATCAAGTTCTGTACAAAATATCTCTGAATTCTGTAAACCAGCTATTCTGGTTTTTAGAATATATTCTACCCTAAATTAACCAAAGGACTTCTTATTCAATGTATTCCATGTTTCAGCATGAGGAAGGTTTGTGCCTGATATGGCAAGAGAAAGAACACTATGGTGATTTCATTGTTACTTCAGGTCTCTTGATCTGAAGGACTGGGTTGTCTAGAGAATTGAACATAGCCAATTCTCCAATATTATCAGTTAGTAATGTCATCTTAAAAATGTTCAATTTTACTGATTTTAATTCTGAGAATCTATGTATTATTAGAAAAATGAAGTATTTCTGATATGGAACAAAGAAAGTGGAAACTGGTACTTAAAGGGGGAAGCAAAATTAGCTTGGACTAAAATGGACATGTTTTGTTTTGTGAATTCTACCTAAATGTCTCCCTATCTACAGAGAAACTAGTATTACTTGAAGATGTGAAAGTTCCTGTGGTAGCCATACCTTTAAGCACAGTGTTGTACATAAGTAAATATCTTGATTCTAAATTAAATCCAGATTTAACTAATATATATTATTTTATATCTTTGTTGTATTAAAATGTTTAAAAACACTAAAAATAAAACATTTGAAAGTTGGATTGCAGTTTCTTATTGAAATGTCTTTTCATTATTAATGAAGCTGGTCAGTTTTTTATATGATGAATTTTAGTTTTGGCAAATGACTGGCCAGGTGTGGTGGCTCACCCCTGTAATCCTAGCTCTTTGGGAGGCCAAGGCAAACTGATTGATTGCCTGAGCCTAGAAATTTAAGATCAGCCTGGGCAACATGGCGAAACCCCGTCTCTACAAAAAATACAAAAATTAGCCAAGCATGGTGGTGTGTGTGTGTGTAGTCCCAGCTACTTGGGGGACTGAGACAGGAGATCGACTGAACCCGGGAGTTGGAGGTTGCAGTGAGCCAAGATCGTGCCACTGCACTCCAGCCTGGGTGACAAAGTGAGACCCTGTCTCCAAAAAAACAAGCACATGGTTGAGCTCTGTAACTTTAAATCTGTGGTACTTAGCCCAGAACTGTGGAGTAGTTAGAATGCTAAGAATTGTCACAGGTACAGGACCATATCTGCTTAATCCACACTGAATTTGTCTTCTTGATCACTGCTAATATGTAGCCTCTGTAGCACTGGCCCAGCTAGTCTTTTTGAGAACTCTGGGAAAAAATATTCCAGAAGAGACCTCAAGGAGCTTGGTGGAATAGAAAATACACTGGGTTGGGCCGGGTGCGGTGGCTCACGCCTGTAATCCTAGCACTTTGGGAGGCCCAACGGGTGGATCACAAGGTCAAGAGATCAAGACCATCCTGGTCAACATGGTGAAACCCCGTCTCTACTAAAAATACAAAAAATTAGCTGGGCATGGTGGTGCGTGCCTGTAATCCCAGCTACTCAGGAGGCTGAGGCAGGAGAATTGCCTGAACCCAGGAGGCGGAGGTTGCGGTGAGCTGAGATCGCACCATTGCACTCCAGCCTGGGTAACAAGAGCAAAACTCCGTCCAAAAAAAAAAAAAAAAATACA